CAGTGAGGGAACAATTCAGGGAATTGTGTGTGCACAAAACAGATGTGCAGCCCTCTGCACTGATGAATCGCAGGAAAAGCTTTCAGCTTCTGTGAAGTTCTGAGGTTTCATGGCACATCTCGGACATTATCAGTGGTGGCCATGGTGGGACACCCCTCTTCCCTAAGACAGTGAAAAGTGGACTCCTCCCAGGCATATTTGCTGTGTGTCTTTTCTGGGTTCAGTGGGCTGGGACCTTCTGAATGGTTCTAGTAGACTGCAGACCTGCTCTGTGTAGAGGCCAACTGGCCAGACTTCATATCTGATATGAAGACTTCATATCTTCATATCTCAACCTCTGTCATCCGGTGGCCCCACCACATTCCACTCTGTTGTCTGTTTCATTTCTCCCTGTGTCTTCCTCTTTGACTGATGTCGTTAGCTTCTCCAGGGCCTGGCACCCACTGTGGGTGTCCTGCAGGTTTCTAGGCTAGGTCATGTCCTTGGCCTTCCAATCCAGCTGCTGTGTTCAGCTGTTCCTTCACTACGCCTTCTCCTGGCCAGAGAGGAATTTCCTGGGTCTTAGCTTTGCTAGCAGTCCTTTAGAGCTGTTGGCAGGAGAGATGCCAATGCCTGGGCTAGGCAGGCACATGGATGGCTTAGCACTCTGCTGCTGCTCTCACAGTCCCTGCACTGGGTACCTCTCACTGGCCATGTCTAGACTCCACTTGAACTTCCAGCTGTCACCTCCATTACAAACTCACCTTCCAGTGTGGTCAAGCATCCCCCCGAGGCTGCCCCCTTCCCTATGAGGAGGTGTCTTAAGGAATGTCTAGTGACTGGTTGGGTCACTATGGCTCCCTGCCCTGGGGGCTGTGGTCCACTCATGGCCAGCAAGAGGGTGAGGAGCTGCCCAGCCTGAGGTTGACATAGCAGCTGGTGCAAACAACAGTGATGATAAAGAGGGATAATAATACCATGAGAGCTGAGCCACCAGGGGGACACTCCCAAGGTCACACACCTGCCAGAGTCTATCTGGACTCCACTCTGGGCCTGTGAGGCCTGAAGCCTACACTCAGCCCCCTTGAGGCAGCCCCAGCCACATTGGTGGCAGCTGTCTCCCTCCTACTCTTTGACACCAAAACCTGCCAGCACATTAGGTTGGGGAGGAAGAAAGTGGAGACTCCACACTGAGGGTTACTGGGTTGAGGTGGGCAGGGCCTCCTGGGGTGTGTCATGTTGTAATTACACGTTGCACACTGCAGTTGCCAAACATTAAATTAGAAGCATTGGCTCTCAGAGCATCATTTGACCACAGTTACGATAATTACGTCCCTACAAGGTTGGCAGTGACCTTGGCGGGAGGCTGGGTGGCAGGGTGACTCAGAGGTTAGGGTAGTGGGCTTGGGTATTCTCTAATGAATGCCGAAGGCCAGAGCAAGGGCCATGGCTGGCCTCATGCTGAGAGAAGATACCTGTTTTGGGCGAAACTGGATGTTGTTGAGTTTCCAGTTTCTGGGGAAGATGGAGACCTTCAGGAAGTAGCTTCGTGGTACATGCACTTTGGATAGCAACAGCCAAAGTTCACATGCTGAAACTCAAAACTACAGGCATTCAATCTGTTGGGCTGTCTGTGGCCCCAGAACCTTGCTGTGCATGGTAGGGGAGCCCACAGTGTTGGCTCCACGAAGGGAGAGACTTCTGTCACCAGCTCCTACTGGAGGTGAGGTAGATGTGACACCAGCAACTCTGCGTCATGTAAAAAGAGGTATGAGGGGTTCACAACACTCCCGCTACAAGCCCTAGCCCCATGTAAACTGCCTGAGCCTCAGCCACCCACTGTCCCAGGACTGAAATATCCAGACGGGCTGAGAGAGGCCTCCAGTCCACAGCCCACTTCCAGAGAGTCCCCAGTGGTGGATGGGGCCCAAGAGTGCATGAGCCTTCAGTTTATGCACACACAACTGAGCAGTAGATGTCACTCTGGTCCCTGGACGTGAGAGGTCTCAGAACTGGCAGGGTACCAAGCTGCTCAGAGAGCTTATGAGGGACACATATCAAGGAGGTAAGTGGATGGGTGAGGAATGAGTGAAAGCTTAGATTGCCCTCATCTGCATGGACCATGTCGCCCTTTGCCTTGGCCACCTGGCTCCAGGACAAGAGATTTACTCTGTAGCCTGACGGAGGACTGAGTGCATTTACTCACATACCACTGAGGGGGTGCCGTAGGGTCTGCTGTCACTGGAGCCCACTGAATGGGCTCAAGCTGGACAGCAGTGGCCCAGTCCCTTAGTTGCCATCACCCAGAACAAGGAAACGGGGGCCCCTAAGACTCTTTCCCTAGTTAACTCAGCTGGTACCCTGGAATGCAGAGGATGTCCCTAAGCCTTTTGCAGATGCTGTAGGGACCACTGAGGAGTTGGTTGTTCCTGCCTTGGGGGCAGGAGGGGCACTGCTGAGCCCCTCCTGGGTTCATTCTGTGAAAGCCTCCCTCCAAGAGAACAGCACAGGCAGAGCCCTTTCTTTGAACTTTCCAGAAGGTATCTGATGGGGGCTGGCCACGACCCTGTGGGTTCACAGTGACAGCATGGGAACCAGTTCTGTTGCCATGCCCTCACCCCAGACTGGCCCGTGGGTGAGGAAGACTGGAATCTGGGAATTCCTGCTTCAGAGACCCTCCTGAAGTGCCTGTGTCTTGGAAGGAAGGGACAGGTTCCTTCTCAGGATTCTATGAACACTGCCAGGCAGGCAAATATTAATTCTTACCATAGTTTTTTTTAATTAGTAGACTTTATTTTTTAGGTTTACAGGAAATCAAGCAAGTAGTAGAGCAAATTCCCCCATATATCCTTTCCCCTACCCCATTTTCCCTGTGGTTAACATCTTGCCTGTATAAATCTTGTGATCCGTGAACCAACGTGGCTACCTTATAAAGGCCAAAGTCTACATTCCAGCTGTGTGTTACTGTTTTCTGACAAGTGCCTGGGCCCTCTGTCCCCATGCTACCATCCTATTGTCTGTCCAGCCCTCTGTGTACAGGGTCCCAGCAGCCTGGTTAGTCCACCAACAGCTGAGGGGTCCCATGACCTTGGGCAGGTCATGCAGGTCATTAGCGCTCAATGTCTGCATTGGACGCTGCTCTCATCCATGGAGTGATGGTCTGGACTCTGGCAAGCCCTGTGGCCCTTCTAGGTTGGATGGGGCCTTGTGAGAGGTGTGCAAATGGCTTATTTATCCCTGCAGAGCACTGGGCAGGAAGTGCTACAGGCACAGAAAGTGGCTGCAGTTTACAGATGTGCCACTGGCAGCTCCTTTCCAGGAGGATTGGTGGCTCCACTTCTGGTCTCCAGCACTTATGCAGCTCACTACCCACAGTGACTGGACGAGGACTAGCTGCAAGGTGGTTTGACAGCCTCCAGGCATTGAACACACAGGTGTGTCGCCTTGAGTCCAGGGGACATCACTTGTTGTGCTGGGCAGGGTCCCCACTCTGGGTCTTGGCTTGGGCAGGCTGGCATGCTATGGTCCAGTTCCCGATCCATGAATTGGCCTCCCAGACCCCTTCTCCTCCCTAGCTTTCCTGAGCAGCTGCAGCTCCATGTCTGTGCCAGCCGCTACTTCATACACTGAACTCACGATTCCATGCCTTTCAGTCACCGCTCCCCCACAAAAAACCCTGTATCTCCAGGCCTCTCATTACGGAAAGGTGTACACTGCAAACCCACCCTTCAGCATCGCAGGGGGCTGCTGGCTGCCAGCTGCACCCCACCTCGGTGCTTCCTTTGGCATAAGGCCAGGGAAGATGCTCTTTTCCAGGCCCCACTCCATGCCAGGCCGTTAGTGGCCCCATGGATTTGGAAGATATTTGCACGACACCACTCAGCAGTTTGTGCTGCTAGCAATGGGCTCTCAGCAATTCTGCCCCCAAGATTGGGCAGTGATAATGTCTAGAGATAGCCTGGATTGTCAAACCTGGAGTGGGGGGTTGTCACTGACATATAGAACAGGGGCCAAAATGCTGTTAAAATCCCATAACATGCGGACTGCCCACTGCAAATAATCATTTAGCCCTAAACTTCATCTCCTGGTTTGGGGAGGCAGCACCAAGCCTGGTGGGGGTGGGGCGCGGCTTGGCGGTGGCTACAGGTCCCCTTCGAGCCTTGGCTTCAGGGACGAAATGTCCAAGCCTTCCTGCAGACCCACTGCGCTCTGCGGCGGTGTCCGGCCCAAGCGGGGTCTCTCTGCCCGTCTGCGGGCTGCGGGCCTGGACAGAGTGTGCACCTGCGCCAAGAGCGGAGGACGCGCCAGGAACTCCTTTGACAGCGGGTCAGATGAGGCGCGGCGCGCGCCCCACCGCAGCCCACTGCCATCTTGGACGGAGGTCTCCACCATTGGTGTACCCCGCGACCCTCTCTCGGCCCTACCCTGGGCAGCGCCCTCACCTGCCCATCACGTCCCCGGAGCCACGCCCAGAGAATCTGCCCACGCGGCGCCCGGAGGTGGTTCGCGCCCCTGCTTCGGGGCGCAGAGAGGCCGCGGGGCGGGGCGTCCGGTACGGGGGCGTGGCCCCGGCGAGCCCGCCCCCCAGCTGAGCCGGACC